GTTTAGAATTAAAATTTCCCAGCCGTTTACTTTTGGTAACTGTAATATTTACATTCAAGGTTTTTAATAAATCGTTCACTAAATGGTCCGTATTATCGGAATTTTCCTCGAGTTTGTCGGGTACATTAAATATTAATATATTTTTATTTCGACGGAGTCTATCAAGTGTTTCGTTAACAGAGTTGTAGGCTGATGGGTGTGTATTTAATGAAAATTTTTCTAAGTCGGAGATTTTATTTTTTAGTGAATCGAGTTCCAATTGTAAGTTTGAATTATGTTTTTTAAGGTTGGTAACTTCGGAGTTTAAATTGTTGATGATATCTTTATAAGATTTAATAGACGATTCCATTGAAATTAATTTTGTATTTATGCTTTTTAAACCTGAATCTTGTGAAGTAATTAAGTTCCAAACATCTTCTAATGTTATTTTTTGTGTGATAGTTTGAATTCGATGAATTTTGTAATTTTTTGATAGGAGTATCCTGTTTTGTTTTGTTATTGGACGAATTATCAGACATAATTAAAAATATTGTGGTTGAAAATTGATTATAAAAATTATATTTATTATATATTAAGAGAAAAAAAAACGTTAAATGCACGCACACACGTCTTACTCGGATATTACGTCAGTATATATTCAAAAAATGTTTGTAAGATTTTTGAGTAATTACAAATATCGCTAGGTAGTAAGATATCGAGTTTTATAATGAAATCAAGTTCGATAAAAACCTCCGTACTTGTCGGCGTTTAAAACGCAACTGATATAGTTGTTGGGTACGCATTACGAGAGGGCGTTTTGCTACATCGTATTTCTATAACTGATAACGTCTCTCGCGCACTACCACCACCGGTTGTGAGAGCGATGCATTACGTCGGATACTAGTCTACGTGTTTATTGTGTCTCGCCGAACTGTTATCGGTCCTTTTTGTGAATTTTGCGTTCTCGCCACCATTGCTAGCCCTTGCTACGTGGTTCTATGGTGCACCTAGCTCATAGTCGCTTTAATGGATTAACCACCCTGGTGATTCGTCGTGGGTATAGAATTGCTATACCAATCTATGCCATTGTGTGCCCTTCGTGTAAACCGTTTGTATCGACTACCCTTGTAGTTTTCAACATTTTGATGTAAAGTACTCCAACTGTTCATTTTTCACCGTCATCAGTCATCTTTCATTTATTGTACGTTACACAGTTAAGTTTTTATTTGTTTGTAATTATTATATTATATTTTACCTATTTTGTTCAGAGATGCCTTGTTGGTCATTTTAGCATTAAGAGGACGCCATACAGAGAATAAAAAACGGGTTTAAACATGTTTTGCGCGGGACTACTTTATTTGATCTGTATTGATGCTAGAGTTCCAAATTTTTTACCAAATTATAGAGGACAAAATTATCTGTGATCTAGCGTTTTTATTTTTTTGTTAACATAATTTCTAGTACTTTATATTTACTATTAAACATTCCTATTTTTTTGGTTTTTTAAATGTTTAATAAATAGCTTCATAGTTGTGTTATCAAAATTATAAAAACGCTAGATCAAAGATAATTTTCTCCTTTATAATTTGGTAAAAAATTTGGGACTCTAGCATCGATACAGATCAAATAAAGTAGTCCCGCGCAAAACAGTTTTTATGCAAAATAATGAATTTTTTGTCTATCGACATGTGACGGTCCCTAGTGGCATTTATAACGTGACGAATTTTTTGTTGAATGACGGTAACCGATTACTCTCACCCTTCAACTGTTACCTTGCCAACGATCAAAACCAGTTATTAACACGCTTATATTAGTTTCNTAACTGCTACCTTGCCAACGATCAAAACCAGTTCATCGGTCCTAATTTATTTATACGTTGTATATTATATCATTTAATTTTTTGTGAGTTTTAAGACGCGTGTATCAGTTTTACAAAAAGTTTGTAACACGAATAATAGGCCTTGGCGTTATTAAACAGCATTTTACAAAATTCTGATTGTCTATGAATATATTTATGATACATAGAATATTCCTTACATAAACATTTATTTTATAAATGTATTGAGTGGGCGTACGCACTAAGTTTACTGCATTATAGTGAGTATAAATTTAAATAAAATTTTATATGAGCATTTCGACATTAAAATTTTTCAATCTAAAATAAAATCTGCAATTGCGTATTTTTTTTAATTCAGAGATAAACATTTTTAATTTACATTTTTTTCACATACCAGGTTTTTCACGCCTATCTTAATTTAAGGTAAGTTATAAATAATAATTCTTTGAAAATTGAATTTGAACGAAATGGTAGAAAAATAATATATGATAAAGGTATTTTTGATTTTTTTGATAAATGTGAAATGGCATTTATTTTATGATTTCTATATCCGTTTGTTTGATAATTGGTATAAACAAATGTATCTAATATACATTCGTTTATGTGTATTATTTCTTGGTAATATCTTTAACAAATTTTATACTGACCAAATAAAAATTTATACTTTTATTTTTTGCTTCATTGTGCATTATAACGTTACACTGAAAGTTGATATTTAAACTTTACCACGTTTTGTGTATTTTGTGAAACTCGCGTTACTTATAATGTCACCTAAAAAGCAACGTGCTTGTAAAAGAAAAAATATTTCATCAAAAACTAAACTTAAATTAAGAATGAAGAATATCCAGAAAAGATTCCATAAAAATAAGTCGTAAGTACATTTGATAACTTAATTTTTGTTTCTGTATATAAAAACAAATTTGCTGTCACTAGAGCTGGCTGCTTATGATAATCCATATTTTTTTCACTCTGATTGTGTTTGATTTATAAAATTAAAATTCTAAAAATACATATTATTTAGATATTAAAAAACATACTTCAAAATTTATACCTTAAATTCATATTAAATTTTTTTATGTTCTTATTATAAGACGAATAATTATTTTATATAGAAAATTGAATGAAATACCACATAATGAGTCAACATCAAATTATGATGAAAAATCTCATCCTATAACAAATATCACTTCATTCAATCATAATTTACTTCAAAATAGTATTAATCCGGATTTATCGTAAGGGTCTTAAATGTTTTTATTTATAAAATTTTTTTTCTAAATATATCATAAGCTTTTCACTTTGTAAAAATGTAGAGATAATATTACCACACATTTTAAATCTTCTAATTTTTAACATAATAATAATATATCTCATTATGTAAGAAATAGTACTCCTCTAAATCGTAGTTTATTGAAAAATAGTATAAATCAGGATTAATAAAAATTTTAGTTACATCACTGTTATCATAAAATTTTTTGATTTTTTTTAAACTAAGAATCAGTATGGTCATACATGATACGCCCTCCAGTTCTGAAATGACAGAATGGTCACAATCCAAGTGAGTAATTATATCATAATAGTTTTTAAAATATTTCAACCCCTATTAAGAAATAATTATTACTTATAAAATTATTTATAATTTAATTTAAAATATTTATAAATAGCTTTTTCTGTATCTTTTTTACTCAAGTGACTATAGTACATCGGAACATAGTTTAAGTATCCATATGGAAAAAAATAGTGTTTCATCGATTAGTGAAAATGAACCGAATAACCAGTAAAGCATTTCATTAATAATTTACTTATGTATTCAATAAAAACTTCAATTTTCTAGAGAATTAAGTGGTAGAAGAATTGTCAATATATCACATTTAATTCAACAAATTCAAAAGCGTCATGTTGGCCCATATGATTGCTCGTTTGTCGACATGGAATATGAGTCAGAGGTGATCTATGGCTTTTCATCAGTTNTCCGCAAATTATAACCGGGCGTTCCGTTCAAACAATAGTAGTAGTATATAAATAGCGGGTACGGGCCCTCAAAGATGCCGACAAATGACGTCATGTATTGTTCTCGGGATAACAATGGGTGCACAGGTGTGATGTATTCCATCATGGTGACGTCACGCCTGACCTACCGTAACCCCCCGGCCCTAGCGCCCGTGGGGACTGCATCCAGGTGCAGCTCGTGACGTCTTCCTCCTAGTTGACGACGTCACATCATTGAACCCTGACCTAAAGTAAGCCGCTATGACGTCTACCTAAACTTTGATATTAGGGTAAGCCCGCCCTATGGTGGGCGGCCCTAGCCGACGTCAGACTTCAACGCTGACCAAAGGTAAGTCCTATGACGTCATACCCGAACCTACTACAGCTGGCCCGTTACACAAACACAATCCCTATGACGACGTCACGCTAACGTAACTCTGTGCTATGAAAATGTGAGCCCTAGATGCCCTATCACGTCGTGATTGTGTCGTGCGCAATGACGCTTGTGCCCGACTGGTGCGAACGCGCCCTAACTCCACTGTCTGATCCATACGTGTCCTAACAAGTTTTATCATGTTTATTTTTTTTTTTTACCACACTAATGTATTTATTGATGAATCATCATGATTCAACAACATTCCCTTGTTGTTAACGTCGTATACGACCGTTAGAAATCTCACTATTTAGTGATAGTGTGTAGTTTCATCAGTAGTATTGTTCTACGACACTTACGAGATGGATCTCTTGGAACGAATTAACATCGAGCTAGATACGATTGTCGATAACAACCCCACGGTAGAAATTTATCATCGACTGGCCGACTTGCGAGGAAATTATTCCCAGTTGCTCTTATTGTCCGATAAATGTGGACGTCAAAGCGCCAATTGGCATTATGTTGGGTGTTTTTGGTCATCGAATTCGAACGAAATACGAATCAATGGACCACCAAATTTTATGTGTAGGATTGTGAGATGCCTGTACATAAAGTTATTCGAACGTCTTCAGAACATCAAATATGAATTTATGGTTAATGGTACGGTACAGCAAATTAACGATCAGTTTATCTAAGTAAATACAAATCTAAATGTCAATAAAAAAATTAATAGTTTATTGTCATTATTTATTATTACATTATGTCTATATATACATATATATTTTTTTTTAATTTTATTTTGTATCCTACTGATTTTTATATTTACAATTTGCGCACTTCTCCGGTGAATGCATTGTATTCCATTTGACAGTCGTGTATGATGACGCAGTACAGCGAAGTTTTAGTTGGAAATTGCTCTGCACATTCAAAGTCAATACGTAGATCCACTGTGGACGACTTGACGGTATCATTTTGTTTTGAACAATCTATGACGAATATAGGTCCGATTTTTTTGTAGCTGATTCGATCCAAAAAAGGGTATGGGTTCATCTCTCCATAGTACATTGTTTGAAATTGTGCGTACGAATTATAAAATGTCGAGAATTTGCCTTTGTCAAAATCTGCATTTTGGTTTTCGTACGGGTACTCGTCAGCGTTCAAGTATGCCTTGATGTTACGCAGGAAACAATGATTAAATTCACCGTGTACCCGTTTATTGGCATCTGTGACCATGGCTACGAGTAAGTACCTAGGTTTTTCAACACCCGAGAACGTACGCACTGGCCATGTATGAGTGGTGGTTTGTGGTACAAGGGGGTATACAACAGTGTTCAAATGTTGAAACTCTAACGGTAACCATTTTTTGCTGTCGAGTATGCGCATCAGACCCAATTCCATTTTCACATTTGGTTCAAAGTATTTCACGACCCATTTAATTTTTGTGATATTCACTTTGGTTTATCTGATCAACGCAATATTTTCTACGGTTAACACCGAAGCTTTTTCTGCTTCGTCTTTTGCCGATACCAATACTACGGCGCAGTGGTCGGCATTCGTTCGGATGAGTATGAGTGTTTGCTTACAGTTGATCAGTAAATGCCGATACCGTTCGAAAAATCCCATACACATTGACAACGGACAATGAGCTACAAATTCGGAATGGTCCATAAAGTTTCCATCATCGTATAATTTATTCACGTTTTTCCACCCGGCTGGTTGTAACCGTACGACATCGTTGGGCGTGAANGTGTAACCGTACGATATCGTTGGGCGTGAACGAACAATATCCTTTCATAGTCGTAGTCACACCAACGTTTTTTACTTTATCAATTTTTTATTGTTGATCTCAAAACGAATTTCATCAAAAAGATTCATCATACAGTTTTGATTCATTACAATGTTACCAACTGCTCCTGTGGGTTTTGCAATATTCCCCTCTATTTGCAAGTAACTTTCACACGGTATGGTGAATTTTTCTTTGTTGCACAATTCAATGCGAATCTCATCGTTGTTTCCGTACGAGTTGTTGTAGCTTTGGTGTTCCAGGTAATAATCCCGTTTCACGTTATCGTCTTGAGAGGATTTTTCCAAAACTTGTAGATACTCTGTCATTGTTGACGACGTGGCAGCCCAGTGATTTTAGATATGCGATATTATCTTTCGTAAGTTTCCTCGGCGTCACACGGTCTGTTCGATTCACAGTCCAAGACCGTTTGATGGAACCACCACCGCAACGTATCGACTTGGGCTTTACTGTTGTTGATGATGATGATATGGTTGTACGATTGTTGTTAAAAATCAACGGCATGTTACAACCATTCGCTACCCGGTGTGTTCAGAAAGTGAGAGATGTATCTATTTATGTCTAATGTGCAAGCGTACGGATAATTCTTCGACTTTGAGATTTATTTGGTATCCTTCTTGATTACATAGAACGATTCGTACCGTATAAGACGAAATCAACCTACGTCATGCATACGACGAATACGTGTGTTGTGATATGAAATTTAACGAGTTCAAAGAGTTTTGCAATCAGTGTGGGAAAAACGATAAATACGGGTTCGCAGTGATATGTACCGATTTTGATCGTGATAGTGGTCGATATAGGTACAGGTTTGACACGTACGTTACAATATGAACACCGCCGCCGACAAGGAACGATGTTCGATGGAACTATTGGACCAAGCCCGATACAATGTCAATAATTTTTATTGCACAGGCCATATTGGATATAAGTAAATGTATTATGTACAAGTTCCATTACGAGGTTATGATGCCGTTGTACGGACCCGAGCGACTCCTACTCTGTTACATGGACACCGATAGTTTCATTTACCTGATAACGACCAACTGTTTCCACGATGATTTGAAAAAGTACTTATTCGAATATTTCAATACGTGCATGCACGCGCGTTTGGTCACCCTACCCGCAGGCGCTGACAAACATCGATTCCCTGAAATAACAGTTTGACGGTGACCCTGATTCATACTACAATGAACATTCAAACCAGTACTATCGACAAACCGCATACAAATGACATGATACAACTATTGAAAAATTAATACATTAGTTAAACGTGTGTATGGCCACCTCTATAATCAACTATTCAGTTCAATGTACTCTTACTATTGGAGTAAACACTACTGAACTGTTAACAGATTATATTATCAATGGTGTGTAAAAATTTAACTTCAATACATAAGTTTTTGTTTTTCTTCTTAAAATCTACTCTAAAGTATTGCTATTGTGATTTTTGTTTTTAAATATTCCACCAATTTGAAAAACTATCAATCTTATAATATTAATCTACAGTATAATTTACATTTGTCATAAACTACTATTAGGTTCTATACTATCGGAGTAATAATGTAAACACAAATAGATTGTAAACGAACTATACAATTTTAATTCAATTTAATTTGTTGTACATGAATCATTAGAAAAAAATATAAACAGATTTTGTTGATTATAAAAGAAAGTAAAGTTAATACATTAAAAAAATTTTATTGAAAATCAAATTAATAAGCATTTTCCGTTTTTCCTCTGTAACACAGAGACATTTTGGTGTCGCCGTCGTTGTACGTTTTAATTTCATCGTCCGTCAACTGTATTCTGGTGACAAAAACTTGTCGGTTGTCGGGCATCCGTGACACCACCACAATACCATTTTTCGTTGTCAAATTTTTCAATGAAACCATTCGATAGACATGATTCTCTACCAGGTCAGACATTTTAATGTATTCCATGCCTTTGGCTTGATTATTCATTTTTTGTTTTAATTGTTCCATTTTCTACACACCAAAATTAATAGTGAGTAAACTATATATATATATATGGTGAATGTCGTATTAATGGTGTATAACTCGACACTGATATGTACATTTCTAACAATAATTACTACCATCAGCCACAGCATCACACGGAGGAGGATACCGCGTAATACAAGTTCTCCAAAAATTGCACGTAACTCGAAAACAGATGCAGCTAGTGCTATGAATTTTTTTTTTTTTTTTCGTCACCTCCATCCGCTTGCCACGAGACCATTAATCTGATATACATATAGGTATGCTCTCATAGCATACTACCCCTCTCCTCTCTCCATTTGTTTATGTTTAAGATAAATTACTAGTCTACAATACAGTCGATGCACTCCTACAGCTATGTGACTTCTCTAACCACTTATAAACTGAGTTGTTTTTTTTTTTTTTTTAATAATACNATTTGTTCATCACAATATTTAAACATACAGTGAGGTGGAAAGTGTAAAATTAACTCTTTGGTAATTTCATTTTGAATGATTAAAATTATTGTAAACTTATAAGTACATTTATAACTGAATAGTGGTGGTTAGATAATAACTTACTTTGGTTCAATACACGAAAACAGAAATATACTTTAAAAAGACACTGGATCGGGTTTTTGAATATATTTAATGACCTAAAAATTCGTATTTGTATTACTTAAAATATTATAATTTTAGTTATATATTGATAATATACTTATTATAAATATTTCGAATTATAGTAAACAAATTTTATTTATGAAAAAACTTTGTGAAATTTATCAGTATTATCGATTTTTAAAAATAAATAAATACATTTTTGAGCACTTGAATAAATTTAATTATCTTACTTTCGGTTACTATAATTCAGTTTGTTCAATATTATTGGGGTCGTGGAGTCCGAAGGTTTTAGAGAATGACAATACAATTTAATAAAAGGGTTATGATAAATATTGAGATTTATTGTGTGTATCAAATTTTATAAACTTTGGTGAATCATTTGAATAGTCTCCGGTTTAAAGGCACGAGCTTAAGTCGGCAACTATGAAACGTAATAAGAAAATGCGTAGGTACGATTTTTGGTCAAGCACTTCGAACGCATTTAATAATTCTCATGTAAAACTAGTTAATAAATTTAGTATGTATAAAGATAAATTAATTACTACTGTTTTGTCATTTTCTTCTCGGATCAAATAATTCCAAATTATTGGAATTAAAATGTATCACCTACTTTATAATGTTTTTGTGGAATTGAAATGAATAAGACTGACAAGTTTTTCTTTCTGAATGTTTGAGAGATTGGTGGTCTATTGCTTCATTTGATTCTAGGCTTGAGAAGTGGAATGTCCATATTTTATAGCTTTTTACGGCTTTTTATATGAAATCTATGATCTATATATGTCACCAAAATGTAGGAATTGACCACCAGGGCTCTCATCTTTATTGAAACGAAAATTATAAGCAGGGATAATATATTACATTGGTTGTGGTACATATGATTTTTGTTAGGGATACTGTTACTTAATACATTGTCTTTGTAGATTAATTTACAGTGTTTACATTTATGATACAAATATTAATTTTAAACTGAACAAGTACATACATTGTATTAATTACATCAGTGATTATGTTATGATATCAATTTAAGATAATTATTTTGTTTTATGATAAACATTGCGAATAATATTAAATTTGAGCGATGAACGGTATCACAACAGTTATATAGTAAAATTTATATTTTTAAGCACAATGAATTTAATTGTTTCGGATAAAAGTCCCTATGAATTCAATATCTTACTAGTGGGGATCAATAAATTTATTACATAGATTTACAATGTTGTAATGTAAAACGTAATTTAACGTTTAAAAATGTATAGAATATTTACTGGATATAATGGTTTAGGCGTGAAAAAAATAAAGGCGACTTTAGCAATATTTTTGTTGATTTTCTTTTAAGTTGGAAAAAAAGTATATATATATACATAATTCGGAACACAATAAAACTGATAAAGTCACACGTGTGTGATTTTTTTTTTGGTATATACGAACGCTTGTAAATACAACAACTCTCTTAGATTATGAAAATTATGAATGTAGTAGTATAATACATTTTTTACTAAATCGAAAATTGCTATTTTTATTTATTACCCGCCGTACCTTTTATATGGTTTCATATAACACACAAGATACAATATTAAAAATGTTCATTTATTTATTTCAAATTACAATAATATATAAGAATGACAGTGAGTGTATTATTTATATGAAAATCAAAATAACAAATAATAGTAGTCTTATTTCGTTATTTTATTATTTTGGATAAATAACTGACCCTTACATAACAATATATGTGTACAGCTAGGAGACCAACGCACATGTTCTACCCATGGGTCGTCTTCATCATCCCAATCTTTCAAACCTTGACTGCAGCAGTAACATAACATTTGATCATTTTGTCCATTACCTAAAAATTATATACACTTATAAAAAAAGTATTTGAATAAATGTACGAATCATAAAAATACATTTAATAATATATAGTCACATACAGTGCTCGAATTGGTGGGGTGCGCAGGGGGACGTAGCTCCTCTACTTTTTTTTAAATTTTTTTGCGCACCCCAACTACTTTTTTTTATTGTGACGGGAGGACGGTGGAAAATACCACCTTTTTTTTTTTTTTAATATTAGTATGATAATGAAATATGATTTATTAGTAAATACTAAATAAAGTAATGAGTAAAAAAAAAAAAAAAAAGTCTTCAAAATGCTAAGGACGCAGTTTTCATATTGTTAAGTTGAGCTCTCCTACTTATTTTTGGCCAATTCGAGCACTGGTCACATACCTATGTATAAAAATCCAGCATCACAAAGTGTTGATATTTTTGATTCCAATTTTTCGGACAGTTTTCAAAAGTCTTTAAACGAGTGTTATAATCGGCAAACTCTTTGTGTTTAGAGAGTTTAATTCTAGGCTGCTGGTCATTAGACGTCGAACAGTAAAATCCATAAACATCATATCCTGAACAAGAATAATTGAAAAGTAATTTCACGTAGATAGTATCGCACCGTAACATACAGTTTTAATTTCTTACCTGAATTTTCATTGAGACGATTTTCATACGCCTTATACGTTTCATTTCCACTGTCCATTTTTGATCGAATACCCATCGATACTAAACGTATAACCGAACAACAGCGTAAGTCATCAACTTTAAAGAACCAAAAAAATAGGTTAAAATTGAAAATTTGGACTAATTATTTTTAACATTTACAGCGAGAGATGAGATTGAGCGTTCACAGACACACAAAAAAAACACATAGTGAAATTAATACCTTCTCAGTTTCGCATCGAAGCTAAAAAAGTGTCGGGCGCTAAATATACGAAAATTATGGCACAAAGCAATAATGCTTTTTTTCACAATAATATTAGTGTTTTTCAGTTTTTTTAAACTATATTTATTTTTCACTT